TGGTCTTAATGACTGATCCATGTTAATGAAGTGTGGGTTCTCAGTCATACGGAAAGGAGAGTTTGTTGCATAAACAAACTGGGCAATTTTTTCATAATTTTTTGTAAGTGGCTGGTTCTTATCACAATCTTATCTGTGGTTGTTTCTGGATGATGGAGATTTTATTTCTCCTTTTGCTACAGGTGATATCCTGTGGCTATGTGACATACATGATGTGACTGAAACACTATCATTGGCAGATAACTCTGAAACTATAGAAAATGATGGTGATCTTGAAGGTGGATAGTCTTCAGAGTCCTGTATGTTGAGGATGGATGCTCCTAAACAAAATAAGTCAATGCAGTTATTTAATTATTATTACCATACTGCTCATTGAGTATTACTCATTGCATTCTTTGCACTCATTGATCTTCCTCTTACAATTTCACCTTTAAAGTAGGTGTACTGAGTGTACTACTTTAAAGGTGAAATTGTAAGAGGAAGATCTGCCTCTTTCAGCTATTTATTTTTTATCACAACTGCATCTAAAATGATAGTACCATAGAGTAACAACTATATTTTTTGCTCAAACATGAGAATTCAAGAATAGTCTAGAAGGAAGACAGGCAGTCCTTAAGAAAGAAGTATGAAATAAAAAAGTTTACCAACCTGAAGATCCTGCATGTTCAGACATATTACTTTCATCATCTTCAGCGCAGCTTCTTCCTGAGAAGGAATACTTCTCATGATGCTGTTTCATTTGGGCAACCAGGCCTTGCATTTCTTTGTTGCACTGTTTGCATTTTGCACGCATGCCTGTCTTACACACAAGTAGAGGAACTTCATTAAAATATTCCCAAACTGGGTCTCTTTTACGGCCTGCGGCCATTATAGGTTTTCCCTTCTAATACGAGAATGGTAAGGTAGATCTCAAATCAATGAAGGCTACACTCGGAAAGACCTCAAGACTTCTGCTCAAACAGTTTCACTTTTGTTTCTGCTGCCTGTCCCTCCCTTCTCACATTGATCTCCACACTTCTTCTCCTTGTCCAGATCTATTCCGCCCCCAACAATCTTCTATTCATTGAACTTTTTGAAACTTTGCACTTTTAGAGAGTTAAGGGATTGACTCTGTGTACACAAATTTGCAGAGGGACAATAGGGTTGGGGTCTGTTATTTCTCACCTCTATATTTTATTGTATGTATGTATTTAAAAACATTTTTGCTGTTAACAAGCATAATATCTCTGGAGACACAAATCCATAGTTTGAGAACTGCAAAACGAAGCATCTCTGATGGTATCTTCCAGACTGAGCACTGAGTCCCATTGGCTAGATAGAAAGATTAACCTAAATAATCTATACAGAAGCCTCTCAAACCCCATAAGATTGGGTCTCTAATCCATGAACTATTGGAACTCATTTACAAAACTTTTTTTAAACGTTACATGAATATATTGTCTCATACTATAGAATTAGAATTTATAATCCCTATTCCATGATGAGATATCTTTGAGCTATAATGTATCTTACTTAAAACTATCTTCAGATAGGTTTTTTCTGCAAAAAGCATTTTTTATTAAAAAAATCCGATTTAAAATTAAAAAAAAAATTTTTTTTTAATCATTGATTTTTATCCACTCTGCTCTTCTCGTCGGGGGGTAAAGTACAGGGGTCGACTGGAGAGCGATCTGCTATTGATTTGGCGGGTCTTCACTAGACCCGCTAAATCGACCACCGATGGATCGATCTCGGAGTGTTGATCCCGGCTGTAGTGTAGATGTAGCCTAGGGGACTGCCTGGTCTACAGATTTATTTAAATGAGCTCTCAAATTGTGTGTAGATAAGGCCTTAGGCTTTTATTGGAGAGAGCACAGACAAGTGATTTAACTGTCTTTGTGCAATGTTCATGGAACTTAAAAATATGGAAACTGCAGTTTAACGTCAGGTTGACTTTGAAATTAATGACACCAAGAGAACAAGTTGTGTAATTGAGAAGAGACAAACCCTAACAGAACGAAGGACTGTTATGTAGGGATCATGTCCTGAAAAGGAGGGCGAATAACACTAACATATCCGTCATTTAGTTGGTACATTTCGTAGTCAGTTAATATACAGCAGCTATGTTTATTGGTTTGTCCTATGTCTTTGGCTTAATAACTCAAGTCTGTGTGTGTGTGTGTGTGTGTGTGTGTGTGTGTGTTTACTGTTGTTCTATTTAAAGGTTGAATCTATAGATTTTTAGTGATTCTTTGATCTCACGTGATAATGATTTTAGGATTTTCCTTTTCCTCTTTTCATTCATATGCAGCATACACTTTATAATTGTGGTCACTGTATTAAAGTTATAGAGTTTGAATGTAGTATGTAACAAGAATTTTTAACTATTAATTTGATTGCTGGCAATCAAAAATACTAAGTGGAGCAAAGCCAGGTAACATAAGTGGCCCTTAGTGGTCAATATCTCCTCCACGTTTGCTGCTGTGTTTAATTTAATTTGGGGAATCATAATTAGACCATTTAGCTTTCCTATGGCCTATAGAAAAAAGGGAGTTTTTTATTTGTTTGGGTTTTTTAAAGGGGAGGGACAGGGAGAGAGAGAAAAGACTTAGGTCTGGTCTATACTACCCGCCTGAATCGGCGGGTAGAAATCGACCTCTCGGGGATCGATTTATCGCGTCCCGTCGGGACGCGACAATCGATCCCCGAATCGGCGCTCTAACTCCACCAGCGGAGGTGGTAGTAAGCGCCGCCGACAAAAAGCGGCAGAAGTCAATTTTGCTGCCGTCCTCACAACGGGGTAAGTTGGCTGCAATATGTCGAATTCAGCTACGCTATTCACGTAGCTGAATTTGCGTATCTTAAATCGACTCCCCGCTGTAGTGTAGATGTACCCTTAGAAAGCTGAGGGGGAATATTTGTTCTCCTAGGGTGAAATCTTGGAGCTATTGATGTATGTGGAAGTTTTCCCAGAGTGCTTGAAGTTACAGATTTTACTCAAATTTGAGACACTGGGCCTTGATTCTCCATTGCTTTGCATTTGTATAGTTATTTACAACTGTACAAAGCGAGTATTAAACACTATCAAATCAGAGTTAGTACCATTCTCAGCACTAACTGACTTGGTAATATTTTTTTGAAAAAGATGCTGAAAAGGGCTGTGTTGCTTCATGTACACTTTATCCAGCAGCCAAATGTTACATTGATAGATTTTGATTGGTTGAGCCTTGTCTACACATGAAAGTTAATTGGAATAATATGACGTGAATTAATAGCAAATTAACTATTCATGATTAATTCCATGAGTGGATGCTCCTATTCCAGAATAAGAGTGCCTTATACTGAATTAGCTTAATCCACTTCCAAAGTGGAGTAGTTAATCAACAATAGGTATTCCAGAATAACTACCCATGTAGACAAGACCAATATAATTTCTCATGGTGCCTAAATATCACTTTTGTACTGAGTAACAGTATAAATAGTCTCTATATAGAATAATAATGCTGGTATATGAAACAAAGTTAAAATTGAGAATATTGATTTAGCTAAAATAGCTGTAATGGTGATCTTTGTCATGAAAACTAGAACATAAACTCAAATCAAAATAAGGGGTTTTCACTTCCCTCTTCACCTCTGTAGAAGGTTGTTTTGGGGGTTGTTTTTATGACTGCCCTAGAACTCCAAGGTAAGAGTGCTTTGTGAGCAAAAGGATAACTGTCTTTATCTTTGATTCTGTATATAGCTATATTATAATCCTCTGTTTCATTGCCAGATTCCCACAATAATATCACAGATTCAGTACTCTGTAACCGCATGGTGTTAGCAAACGTCAAGAGATCGTGAGATAGGAATGAGAGGGGAGCTTTTGACAAATGTTGATCTCTGTATTGCCCTTTAATCTACAAAGTAACCAAGGATTCGGTCTGAGAAGTAAATTAGTTGATATTTGAAAATCTGTATAATATAATATTTGATCAAGGATGCCTATTCTTGAATACCTCATTATTTCACTTCTTTTTCACTTATATATTCTAAATCAGATACACTCACTTGGAGTATGAGCACATCTGGGAAGTATAACAGTGTAATGTGAGTTTTACTGTTCTGTTGTTCTGAAAAATAATCTATGCAGACTGAGAACTGTGCATTTAGGAGACAGACTATGATGGGCTGTAGAACCATGGTGGACAGTAGGCTTTTCTTGACAAATCTCTTTCAGTTAGTCACTCAAAGATTGAAAAGTGTATCTCTGTTTGTTAGATGAGTGCTAATGTCTTTTGGGGATGAAAAGGAGTATAGTATTACTAAAGGGTGTATGTTGAATTAATCATGGTCCGAAATGCTATTTTTACTTGGAGATCTGAATTCCATCATCAAAGAGAGTCAAATGAGAATTGGGACAGTATTTTAAACATTGAGTTCCGGTCATTCGTATTTATTCCTATTGATTAAATTAATCCAAAAAAGGAGATTTTAGGTTAAGCAATCTTTTTAGAAAACTAATATCATTAGAAGAGTAAACACAGTAAATTGAAACACAGTTTAAAGTTGTGTGTATGTTACATTTCTCCACTCTCAATGACCCTAAGTGAAAAATCCACAGAATATATACAATGATGAAGTATGGAAGTAAATGTAGAAAATAATGTTCTGTTTCAATTTACTAACTTTTTTCTGAAGTACTATGCAGTTTATCTCCAGACCATATTAACAAGCTAGCTAATAAGAAATAGACACCAGCCTTACCAGCAGTTGTTTCTGGTTCCTTATGCACAGTAAATAATACCAAAACAAAAAAAGTTCAGATAATATTCATATTTCTATCTGATATAAGTTTGCATCCCTTGTGATAATCAGACTTGCTTGCCTCTTGATTTTAATATCTTCATGTGCTTCTCCTACCTCACTATTCTTTTGTTTGTGCCAGATTTAGTGTGTCATCTATAAACAGTATTACGTTGTTTCTGCAAATAGAAATTTGGCTTTCCTTGAAACATAGCAATGTTTTTGCTCTCTTGCAGAGGAACCTGAGCTGAGACATGTAGAAAAAGATGTGTTAATTCCAAAAATAATGAGAGAAAAGGCCAGAGAGCTATGTTCAGATAAAGTGCAAGGTAAGATTCAAATATTTATCAGAAGACCTGACTTCAGTGCTTCACCTCAGTCAAATAGTCAGTGAATTATCATGTAAGATTTGCTTCTCATCCATTTGCTGTGAGACCACTATTGTAGCTTACAAAATGTCAAGACTGGCTTTAGTTGATTTACAATATAAACTCTTTACCAACATAATGTCGTTAGAAGGCACTTGGATAGAAGCTGAGTTAGGCTGAGGGAAATCTTTCCAAGCCTTTGTCTGGAGGGTGTGATGGAAGAGGAAAACAACAGCAATAGCTTCCCCAAAACAATCTCTTCAGTGTTCCTTTAGTGAAAGTGGAATTCCCACATGTAACACTTTACAAGGGGGCTTCCCGGCTGTAATATTACATACCTCTGTTTAAAAGAATGTTTCTTGCAGATGTTCTCTGCTTTCCATGTGCCTTGGAAAAATTAAGTTTTGACAGATGGGAGAGAGAGATGACTATTTTCTCGTGCTAACAGTTGGATTTATTTTTCTATGACAAACATTTTTGGGTGGTAATACTGGCTAATAGTTATAAAGCAAATTTTTCTAGCTATTTCTTTTGCTAAATATTTTGGAGTTGATTAATTTTCTCTTCCAGGAATTGTAAGGATATAGAGTGGGACATAGTCAACAAGTCTGTCCAAATTTAACTGGGATATATCTCAGTGGCAGACCTGTACAATAAGTAGTAGTTAAGAATCAGGAAGCCTGAGCTTGGAACGCTTTTGTGAACTGTCTGAATGATAGCCTAGTTTACCTCCAGCTAAGTAGAGAAAGTCACTATGGGTATGTCTACACTTACCGGAGGGTCCGGCGGCAGGCAATCGATGTTCTGGGATCGATTTATCGCGTCTGGTTTAGACGCGATAAATCGATCCCGGAAGTGCTCGCCGTCGACGCCGGAACTCCAGCTCGGCGAGAGGAGTACGCGGCATCGACGGGGGAGCCTCCCTGCCGCGTCTGGTCCCGCGGTAAGTTCGGACTAAGGTACTTCGAATTCAGCTACGTTATTAACGTAGCTGAATTTGCGTACCTTAGTCCGAAGTGGGGGGTTAGTGGGGACCAGGCCTATGAGAAAGACAAGAGCAAGCAGATCTTCAGTGAGAAAAGACTTTCTTTATGGGAGCCTGTGAAGGGACACTCCCTCATCCTGGAATGAAAGAGGCTAACAAGCTCCTCTGGGCCTGTTCCATGCTAACGAGACACACCTGCAAAGCTTGCTTTGCCTGGAGGGGAAGGAACTTAAAAGGGGGAAGCTTACCACCAGAAGGGGCAGTGAACAGTAAGAAGGTTGTGCCGCTCAGGGAGTGCTGGTAACAGAGGGAGTCCAGTTGAGGAGGGGACAACCGTGAGATGCACCGCTGCTGAAGCTGCCCTGACCGATAGCAATATGTGGCCCCAGGAAGAGGGGTAAAAGGTGAACCCCATGAAGGGGCAATAGACTATGTGAGACTGAGCCCTTAGAACTGATTCTCGAGGGGCTGCCTGAGAGGCTGGTCCTTGTTCCAGCCAGACATTCCCCTCCTGCAAAGGGAAGGGAAGAACAGGAGCTAAACGCCGGCTTGTGTGTGTAGCCCACAGAGAGATTCTGCAAAGGCTGCAAACTGGGGGATAAACGACGGACAGTGAGACCCGTGAGGGAGGGGGTCTAGGGAGCCTGCCCTCCACAGAGCCTGAGCATAGCTCTGATATACAGTACATCTGGCATGAGTGCTCATGGTGTGAGAGAGAGAGAGAGAATAGATCTGAACAGAAAGAGCTCACTGTCTGTCATCAAGTTCTGTAACAAGAAGGAATTGACTAGGAGGAGACCCAAAGAAGAATTCATTCTGCAAGGAGCCCTGGGAACCCATGAGTTAGAGAAAGATTACACACAACTTATCCAACTATGCTGGTGGAGAAGTAGCCTGGTCTGATTAAGGGGAAAGAAGTAAACATTAGAATATAATAAATGAATAGGGTAATGGATATCTAAAAAACAAAAACAAAAAAACCTCCAAAGCATGCACAGCCACTCTCTCAGTAGATAGGATATGCAAGAAAATGAACTCTGAGAACCTGCACTAGTGTTACAAAGATATGGACACACCAGGGGAAATACAGCATTGCTTTAGGACATGGAGGATCATGGCAGAGGATATGTGGCCACTCTTGGAATAATAGTCTTCTCTGGAGTCCAGTTGATCAAAACAGGACAATACTTTCTGAAGTGATATCCCTTTTAAAGTAAAGAGGTTCCTTTAATGGAGCATGTCAGTTGTGAAAAAACAGTTGAGAAAAGGAAAGGAACTGGCACAGGCCTCTCACCTCTGTCAGTTTGCCAAACACCTAACCTGAGGAGCTACTCTGTTTGTATTTTGGAATTACAGGGAAAAGGGGAGGGATGCTCTAAGAAATGCAAGAAGAACCCAAGTTCTGCGAACAAGAGAGGAACTGAGAGTGCCAAAGGGAAATGGGATCATGTAATGGGTAGGTTCCAAATCTGCCAGGATTTATCTTTAGAAATGAAGAAAAGTGTCACAGAAAGAGAAAGTGAGAGTTCAGAGTAAAAACTTTTCAAACTCTGTTAAAGTATGATTGATGATACCCTCACATTATGCAAATATAGTAATTCAGTATGTTTGTGATATGAGTTTTTTAGGGTTATGTTTCACTCATGAACTAGTTGTCATGGGGTGATTTTTAATATGCTCTTGCCAAAGAGGGATATCAAGAATATTTCAGATAGGAGCTGCTTTGCATTGTTTTCTTTTAGTTAATCTTGAGTGTTGGGGATAAACCAGAGAAACGATGATTTTGTAGAATTTGCTCTATGTAAAATAAGGCAAAGCTTCAATTACAAATAGGACCCTCCCCCCCCAGTATAGATTCAGAGCCCCTGTAGTACATCCAGCAGCTCCTCCTTTACTTTCTTGCCTTTATAAGTCATAAAATAAAATGCTAGAAGAGGTGTATTTTCATTCTCATCGTTAAGCAAAACAAATATAATCTATTTTAAATTAATAGTTTCTGTGGGGGACTAGTTTTTGTTTTTAATTCCATTGTGAAATTAGTTCTTGGACAGAAATATGCCTAAGGAGAGGTGCTAATCAGAGTAAATAGTACTCCTTGTAAAAAAAAAGAAAGCATAAGCTCTATTTGAACAGAAATGGTATCATCAAGCACTCAAAAGTCCTCATGTATGTATTAGAGAGACAAGGTGGGTGATGTAATATATTTTATTGGACCAGCTTCTGTTGGTGAGAGAGAGACGCTTACACAGATCTGTTCTTCACATCTGGGAAACTTACTCAGAGTGTCACAGCTAAATACATCTTGATCTGAATCACAGTTAAACTGATACCCCATTATGGGGTTATCAGGCATAATGTTGTTGGAGTTGCCATCTTTTGAGTGAGAGAAAAAACAAGGTCCTGATCAGGACCGGTGCAAGGATATTTTACGCCCTAGGCGAAACTTCCATCTTGCGCCTCTTTCCCCCCCCCCTTGCACATCGGTTCATTGAGGGGCAAATCCCAATGAGCCTTTATAGACCCCCGGGGGCCAGCCGTGCCCAGGGGCTGCTCCTCAGACCAGGTTCCCCCCTCCCTGCCCCCTAAACTCCCCTGGAGGGTGCACAGACCCCCCCCCCCATGAGCTTTCCCTGCCCCAAGTCCACTCACTGGCTTTGCCAGGCTTGGGACGCTGCAGCAGCTCGACAGGGAGGAGCCCCCTTTTGGAGGCACCGGAGAGCCAGAGCATCCCGCTTGTGGCGGCGGCGAGCCCCAGCCATGGAGGAGCTGGCGTGGCGCAGGGGGGCAGCAGCCCTGCAAAGGTGTCGGCGCCGCTAGCAGGGAGCAGCCGTGCCTGCCCCTCCTGCCCAGGCTGCGGCCCAGCGCGCCCCCCCCGGGGGGGTTCCTGCAGACTGCAGCGGCTGCATGCGGGCGCCGGCCCCCATGGATCCCCCGGCTCCCCCCTCGCCGTCCTTGGGCACTGCGGCTCCCGGGCGTGTGAGCCGCCACCGGAGCACAGGGCCCTAAGCCTTCTCCGGGAGGGGCAGCAGCAGCTCACACGCCCGGGAGCCGCAAAACCTGAGCATGGTGAGTGGGGAGCCAGGGGACGCCCCTCCCCGGGCTGTGGCCTGGCGCCCCCCCCAGGGGCTCCTGCACTGGATGCATGCGGACAGTGGCCCCAGTGCATCCCCCAGCTCCCCACTCACCGCGCTCGGGTTCTGCGGCTCCCGGGAGTGTGAGCCACTGCTGGGAGCCGCAGAGCCCAAGCGCAGCAAGGGGGGAGCTGAGGGGTGCACGAGGGCCGCTGCCTGCATGCATCTGCTGCAGCCTGCAGGAGCCCTAGGGGGGGCGGGGGGAGGGCGGACCGCAGCCTGGGCAGGAGGGGCAGGGAGTTCAGCTGCTTCCTGCTAGTGGCGCCGCCACCTTTGCAGGGCTGCTGCCCCCCTGCGCCGCGCCGGCTCCTCCATGGCTGGGGCTCGCCGCCCCCGCAAGCCAACGCTCTGGCTCTCCGGTGCCTCTGGAAGGCGACTCCTCCCTACCGAGCCAGGGCACTTTTTGGCGCCCTAGGCAACCGCCTAGTTCGCCTAGTGGTTGCACCGGCCCTAGTCCTGATTGCATTTGTAGTTTAACAGCTTTTTGTAAGAGTGGTGGCATCTCACCTGGCCATGTTTTAATTTGGTTAATTACTTTTGTCTATCCAAATGTCTCTCTCACCAACAGAAGTTGGTCCAATAAAAGATACTACCTCACCTACCTTGTCTCTCTAATATCCTGGGACTGTCACAGCTACTGACACAGCTATGACTACACTGCATATCTAAATTTCTGGCATTGAAGAGTTTGGCATTGCTAACACTGTTTTGACTGCTGTGTATCTCTCCAGAGCTGGCTACATTTCAATGGTGGGTTAAAGTGATCCCTATATATAACTGAAAAGAATGTTCCTGGTGAAAGGTGCTGTATGAATTAATAAGTAATACCGTTGAAAAACTATTTT